TATGTCATGACAAAATCAAACGCTCTGTGTGCTCCACCTTATATAGATGATACCGGTAGACTAGTTACGGTAGACTAGTTACATTTGATCCTCGATGTACATCGAAAGAATCGCATAGAGGCATAACGGTAAAATTGTCTGCCTTTGAAGTTGGATGTCACTCCTCTGTAAACTTCAAAGGGCAGGTATCAGCCTACTCCAACAATGTTAGAGGTTTTACACGGCGAAAAACTTTTGACAGGCGCCGCGTAACGAGGTCGCAGTCGGCAAAATCATATCCGATTGAAAAAAGGCTGACCAGCGGCCTCTCATGTTATGGGAGTAGTATCAGCCTAGCGATTGTTTGTTTTAATTTTTTTATCTGAAATCATTCAAATAGCTATCCTTGTGCCTTTGTTTGGGTCATGACATATTACAGAGGTGCAGAGAACAGAAGTGACAACCCCCGGAATTTCAAGGATGTGTTATTCTAAGAATACTCCAAACTTATCAGTACATAAAATGAACTACCTTTGATTGCGCAGAAAGTGTGAGAGATATAATACTAGTACAGGAACTTACATATAACATCTTGGCTAACAGGCATGGATTGTTCACATATTATTTCAAGTATACTTTAAACCTGATGAGGATACAATATTGTTAATTCAAAAATGTGAGGATGGGTCTATTCCCAGAAAAAAAATTCAACATTACCAATCAAATTTTGTGTAAAAGACACGTTTTAAAACAAATTTATCATTGTAACCAGTAATAATATTGCGTACCAAATTTGTCAAAGGTAGAGAAATTTGTGATACACTACATTTTTTCGTACAGTTAATGATGTTTCCTAAGAATTATAACTTCAATCAATGACCAGTTTCTGTTCAAAGTCGAACTTTCAGAATCTGTAAGAGACCAAGCTACTGTGCTATACATCACAGGGTCTTTAAGTCAAGAATGATAGGAAAGATATGTGGTATTGGTTTCCATTTCTCAATTCTGAGAAATCTCATTCATCCCTGAAATTTCATAATGAACTATTCCAACCTTTGAATTGGAAGAGTTCATTATGTGTGGTCAGGGGTAAATGTTCTTCAGCCTTCGTATCACAGTCTGTGGTGGCTTTGGGTACTTCAGCATTTGGTGCACTAGATCAGGTTTGGTGAGGTTTTCATTTTTGGCATATACTCTTTCTGCACACGATTCACGAATTCTAAATTGCTGCAGAATATTTACCATTGTACAAATACTATACTACCAGAGATAAAATGCAAAATTTTAGAAAAATCATAGATTTGGTTTTGGAGCATCATTGCTAAAATGTGACATTGCAAAATTTGATCAGTGACATTATATTTCTACCTAATCAACTAAAAATGTATACGCAAGATTTTTTGATAACATGGGCTCTTCTTATCAAAATTTTCAATATCCTGTTTAATTTCTATCTTAAATACCAGTAAAAATATGTAATTGTCATGTTTCTATAAAAGACTGATTCATGGTCAAAACATAATAATGATTTTTAATTATTATAACAATAAGATTGATAACAGAAGATTCTGTAATTAAAACAATCCCTTGACACAAAAAAAAAACACATTTTTTCCATTTTTTGGTAGACCATGCAAACCATACAGAGCTGAAAGAGGTATACAAATGCATGTACTGATTGTGTAGGTACACGATCAACTACACACACGTCCCATAAACCAACCCTATCAGCTGCTAATAGATTTCTCAATTAAGACAACTTAAGACAAATTTCAGTTCCTTTCCAAATTCCATTGTAAAATTTACTTTTAAGTATAAAAACAAAATGTCTGATGGGCAAAACTGGAAAATTTCTATATACCAGGCAACTTTGGCCCTAGTTTCACTCTCGCCTTCTCACCCTCTGTGATGAACACGAATTTATCACTACAGCAAATTAAGTACACAACATATCTACTGTACATATTAATAACATGTGAAAGGCGAAATTAACTCATTCACCCCTAAAATTTCATAATGAACTATTCCAGCCTTTGAAATGGAAGAGTTCAAATATGTCTTCAGGGGTGAATGAGTTAACACACTGGGCAAAAACGGATTCTACCAGCGAAGGGCAAAGTTTCCCGGTATACAGTATATAGCAAGCACATAGGAGCTGGTTTACAGTCAAGATGAGCAAAACGGTAACAGAGGAATGTAATGGCTTTGGACGACAACATTCAATAACGTTTAATACATAAAATGGGAACAAGGGTTTAAACAAGAAAAATTCATCAAATTTTGGTAAATACATTACAAATAGTGTATATATATATATATATCATCATCATCATCATCATCATCATCATCATTGTAACAGGATTATTTACAAGGATAACAAACAACTCATTACAACATCCTGTCATGTTAAATTAAATATGGACTCATGATCAATAGCTGCATTTTCTATATTTTCTAACATTTCTATAACTCATACATTCTAGATACACCTGTACGTTGTAGTCGAAGTCAAGATCTGGCTGAAGATTTGATTTTGCTTAGAAATTGTTTAACAATGAAAGAAATCAGAAGATTTTACCCATACATGCAAAACTGGGGAGATATCGATGACCAATCCCCATAGTCTTAAAAAATATTTAATTCCTAATTATTAAGAAATATTAAATTCCTAATAAAATCACTTTTTTTTTTATACAAACAGTTAACATTATATTTTCTTCATTTTAGCATGATATTTATAAAAATATCATTTTCATTTAATTTCTGTTAAATATTTAAGTGATGAAATTTGGAGTTTTCCTGAATAATGAAAAAATTTTGGCATACAATTTTTTTTCTTTTCCCCCATAGAAATATTCAGAAATGATGTTTATGAAATACATGTTCAACAATTATCTAATAAGTTTATATGAATGAAAGTATAAGAACAAAATCTGATCTGGAGAAAGTTTCAAGCCCAAACAAGGCTTAATGTTTCTCAAATAAAAGATTGGCTATCATCTGCCACAACTTATATACTTAAGGCAAAAACATCTAACATATTTATTATCTAAATTTTCTGTAACAACAATAACTGCACATACTTATATTTCTTAGATTAATATCTTTAAACTCCAGGAACTTCTATAATTCTACTATTTGTCATAATTTTCTCACCAACTGTATCATGCATATGTATCAAATTATCACAGCTATCGTAGTTGATTAAATGATTCTGTTAATTTGCAGACATATTTATCATAACAGACTTTATATTTTATTCATGAAAACGTAATATGTTAGAAAAGAAGACAACTTATACCATATTTGTCCAAGTAAGTGCCCTATCAATGCTCATTCAGAAACTAAATCTATTAGTAAATATATATATAACCCTGTGCTAGACCATTGGAGATGATTTTAGGAAAAGTGAATTTGCGATGATCCATTGAATTTTTTTCTCAATAACACAGTACATGGATTGTTTATTAAGACATATAAGGAGACAGATTTAGAAATAATCCCCGGGAATGTCAGAAATCAATTCACTACGGATGTAATTTGTTATACAGCGTTTCATGTACACCTGCCAAGTCATCTGCATGTCTTGCAAATGACCTGTGCAGATTTTGGTATATTTTGGGACCTCCTGAATTTGCACTGCTGTCCTTATTATGTGTGATAGCTCATGCAAAAATAAATTGGAGGAAAACTGTTACAAAATCATAAATCATTTGTAAATCAAGTCGGTGAATAATTAATACATAAATTTGCATTGTCTGCACAACGGCAAGTCTATCCTCTGAAATATCACCCTGGCTGTTGCGATGACGTTCAATCAATCAACCAGCAAGGAAAAGGACAAGTACACAACTTTTGAAACAGGCTTGGCAAGGGCAAGGCAAAAGATGAAAACTTCAACAAATTTCTTCTCTTTTAACATAAAAACAAAAACGTAAAGGTTTATATCGTGTCCCTCTCTAGCATAAAAGACAGACAAAGACACAGTCATTGTGGAATAATTTTCTCTCTTTAAAATAGCAATAATAACAATGGTATGGTTTTGCATGTTTACACATTATTTTTACCACCAATTTTGTCATTTGATAAAAGGGTATCAAATTGTCAGCTTAAGGATGTATGCTACCTTACTTTGACATGGAGACTTGAGGATTCATGCTACCTTACAGTAGACTTAAGGATATATGCTACCTTAATGTGACATGTAGACTTAAGGATTCATGCTACCTTACTGTGACATGGAGACTTAAGGATTCATGCTACCTTACTGTGACATGGAGACTTAAGGATTCATGCTACCTTACAGTAGACTTAAGGATGTATGCTACTTTAATGTGACATGGAGACTTAAGGATTCATGCTACCTTACAGTAGACTTAAGGATATATGCTACCTTAATGTGACATGTAGACTTAAGGATTAATGCTACCTTACTGTGACATGGAGACTTAAGGGTGTATGCTTCCTTACAGTATGCTACCTTACTGTGACATGGAGACTTAAGGGTGTATTCTACCTTACAGTAGACTTAAGGATGTAAGCTACCTTAATGTGACATGGAGACTTAAGGATGCATGCTACCTTACTGTGACATGGAGACTTAAGGGTGTATTCTACCTTACAGTACACTTAAGGATGTATGCTACCTTAATGTGACATGGAGACTTAAGGATGCATGCTACCTTACTGTGACATGGAGACTTAAGGGTGTATTCTACCTTACAGTAGACTTAAGGATGTAAGCTACCTTAATGTGACATGGAGACTTAAGGATGCATGCTACCTTACTGTGACATGGAGACTTAAGGATTCATGCTACCTTACAGTAGACTTAAGGATATATGCTACCTTAATGTGACATGTAGACTTAAGGATTAATGCTACCTTACTGTGACATGGAGACTTAAGGGTGTATTCTACCTTACAGTAGACTTAAGGATGTAAGCTACCTTAATGTGACATGGAGACTTAAGGATGCATGCTACCTTACTGTGACATGGAGACTTAATGATTCATGCTACCTTACTGTGACATGGAGACTTATGGATGTATGCTACCTTACTGTGACATGGAGACTTAACGATAGTGACACGGAGACTTAATGGTGTTTGCTACCTTACTGTAGACTTAAGGGTGTATGCTACCTTACTGTGACATGGAGACTTAAGGATTCATGCTACCTTACAGTAGACTTAAGGATATATGCTACCTTAATGTGACATGTAGACTTAAGTATTCATGCTACCTTACTGTGACATGGAGACTTAAGGGTGTATGCTACCTTACAGTATGCTACCTTACTGTGACATGGAGACTTAACGATAGTGACATGGAGACTTAATGGTGTTTGCTACCTTACTGTAGACTTAAGGATGTATGCTACCTTACTGTGACATGGAGACTAAAGGATTCATGCTACCTTACAGTAGACTTAAGGATGTATGCTACCTTAATGTGACATGGAGACTTAAGGATTCAACCTACCTTACTGTGACATGGAGACTTAACGATAGTGACATGGAGACTTAATGGTGTTTGCTACCTTACTGTAGACTTAAGGATGTATGCTACCTTACTGTGACATGCAGACTTAAGGATTCATGCTACCTTACAGTAGACTTAAGGATATATGCTACCTTACTGTGACATGGAGACTTAAGAGTGTATGCTACCTTACAGTGACATAATGAGACTTCAGGATGTATGCTACTTAACAGTGACATGGAGACTTAAGGGTGTTTGCTACCTTACAGTAGACTTAAGGATGTATGCTACCTTACTGTGACATGGAGACTTAAGGGTGTATGCTACCTTACAGTGACATAATGAGACTTCAGGATGTATGCTACTTTACAGTGACATGGAGACTTAAGGGTGTATGCTACCTTACAGTGACATGGAGACTTAAGGATGCATGCTCCTTTACAGTGACATGGGAGCTTAAGGATGTATGCTACTTAACTGTGATATGGACCTTCATTACAAGAGAATTCCACAACAAAAAACATGTTAAATGAATTCCATAAATGGTTATGTTCACTCCGTTAGGTGACTGTCCATACAGTCAAATGTTTACACCTTAGTGCAACGATACTTCTCAAACAATTTGCAATCATCAGATAGTGCCAGTTACGACTCTTTGAAGGGTGAAAATTTGGTAAACAAATCACAGGTCTGTTTTATATTTGAAGTTTCATTAAACAATTATGGCCATTATTTATGAGTATTAGGTAGCATATCTGGTGCATGTATCACATTTGCGACTGCCAAACTGCCATTCAGGACCGATTTACGTACAATGAGAATGCTAATTGGTCGTTTTTGTTAAATAATGCGTATTAATATCACTGACAACCGACGTCTAATAAATTCATGAACTATGCAAATGATATGTTTATATAACCTAGTTTCATAAACTGCAAGGTAATTTATGACTTCAACAAACAAAATGGTTCTATTGTTACAAATTTTCCAACACTTGGACAGTTCCTATTACATAAAGGTGAATATTACACATTTAAATCATTAACATCTTTTAAATATCTACCACATTCTGTCTTTTGATGACCTCTGAATTATATAAAATTATGAATCAAACTTTATTGCTAAAGCCAACATATTTTATAACCAGTACTGTTCTGCTACCTTATCATTATTGGCATCAATTTTAAAAAACCTTTTGACAAGTTATCTCCCCTTCTGAAAACACTGATAAGTTAATTATCTCCCTTACTGAGAACACTGACAAGTTATCTCCCTTACTGAAAACTCTTACAAGTTCTCTTCCTTTACTGAGAACTTCGACAAGTTATCGCCCTTACTGAGAACTCTAACAAGTTATCTCCCTTACTGAAAACTCTTACAAGTTATCTTCCTTTACTGAGAACTTCGATAAGTTATCTTCCTTACTAAGAACTCTGACATGTTATCTCCCTCTACTCGGAACTCTGACAAGTTAAATCCCTTTACTGAGAACTCTGAAAAGTTATCTCCTTAACTAAGAACTCTGACAAGTTATTTCCCTCTACTGAGAACTCTGACAAGTTATCTCCCTCTACTGAGAACTCTGACAAGTTAAATCCCTTTACTGAGAACTCTGACAAGTTATCTCCCTTTACTAAAAACTCTGACAACTTATCTCCCTTTACTGAGAACTGACAAGTTATAACCCTTTACTGAGAACTCTGACAAGCTATCTCCCTTACTGAGAACTCTGACAAGTTATCTCCCTTACTGAGAAATCTGTTATTAACCAATTTTGAGCAGTCATCTTCTACACGATGCTATTTTTAATTCAAAAGAGTCTTTTCATGTTGGATTTTTTTATGAATTATATCAATGAAAATATAAACTATCTATTTCACAACAATTATGACACAAGCTTTTCTAATTTATATTGATCACTATTAAGCATGTTGGGGTCTTAATGTGGGAGGACACTGGAATATCTGGAAAAAAAAACAAGTTGTCAGACCAACAACCCAATATATCTTCACGTCCAATCTTGGAATCAAACCTAGACTGTTTTGGTAACAGGCAAGTGAACCACCTATTATGGCAGGTTATTAACTCATTCACCCCTGAAATTTCATAATGAACTATTCCAACCTTTGAATTGGAAGAGTTCAAATGTATGTTCAGGGGTGAATGAGTTAAATGGAAAATATACTTAAGTTACCATCTGACAACATTTTCGGGTATAAATGTGAAAAAGTTGTTGTGAAATAGCATAGCACGACTATTCGTATAACATTTGAAGAATAATTTAAGTCCAAAACAGATAATATTTTTTTTCTCAAAAAGGTTGCTGTTCTGCCTTCTGTACAACATTGCATGGCCCTCTCCAGGAACCTCCATGCCAAATATCACCTTACTGTTAGAAATATTGATCGTTATGATTATAGTAATTTTCATCACTTGGACCAACAAAATTTACCTGGAAGATTTTGGCAGAAAAAAATAAAGAGCAAATTGGGCTTCAATACTTAACAGAAAGAATAAACTGTTTTTGTGTTTGACTTCTGTGCAATAGTGTTTGATCCCCTTGGGAGCCTCCACGCCAAATATCAGCCCATAGCTATGCTAGCACAAAAAATGAAATAATATTGAATGTCAACACATGCACCAAAACTTTAACTTGGGAATTTTGGCAAAAATAGCTAATAAAAACATTTCAAAGGGAGATAACTCTAACACAAATCACAGGCAAAAAGTTAAAAGTTAATATTTTATCAATAAGTTTAAACTTGATCTTTTAGTAGAAAATAAACATGAGAGTTTCCGTTCTGAATTAGCTGCAGGTTGGTAAAGACAATATTTCTAAACAATTTCTTTGATCACTGTATGGTAAAAAAATGTTACAGGTGAGTTCACTTTGGAACATGTGCGAGATCACTAGAAAGGATATTTTATAAACACCAGGATGAAACGATTTTACAACGAAACTTACAGTTCTCCTAATTATCTGAAATACACTCAAAAGAATGCCTTAAAAATCATATATTAATTAAAATGTCACCAATATGAATGAATTTTCCTTAAAAAGATTGAAGATGAAAAATGCAAAGCTTCAAAAACACACTTACATTTACATTTCCATGATCACAAAATTGATGATATCAAAAAGTAGAAAAATGGAACTGGAGAAAAAGGTAATGATAAAGTAGTTTAAAGGAAACGAGCATTGTTCATCATAGCAGATACTGATGTTTTTATAAAAAAACAAACATTTTTCATACAAAAAAAACAACTTTTTTTTCTATTTTTAATCTGTGGACGGGACCACTTTTCAGAAGGAGGCTATTTCCTGATGTCTGAATTGCTCTGATGGATGTTAACTCATTCACTCCTGAAACTTCATAATGAACTATTCCAACCTTTAAATTGGAAGAGTTTAAATGTGTCTTCAGGGGTGAATGACTTAATGTTTGTTTCACGATCTCAACAAGGAAACTCAATGCCTCTTATAAAGCGTGGATAAGTTATATGATGAGATTTCTGTGCAATGATTTTCTTTTGCATGGATTGAAATTTGGACAGAATTTGCAAACACTGTCCATAAGTAATTTGTTTAGGATGGTCCACATTTGACGAAATCTTTCATTTATTCTCACATACTTACCCCAGCAAAAACAATAACTTTACATTACATGCCCATTAACCCTGTATTGTAAAATGTCACAATGATCAGAACTTTAAATTTCTGTTGTTTAAATTAAGAAATAAACAATTCAAATGTTTGATTTAAATTATCTAAATCAAACCTTTGTTTTGTTTATTAATCCTATTGTGTAATCTCCACCAAATCACAACCTTAGAGTGAATTTCACTTATTCTCATGTTGTTTATTGTCACATTGCACTTAATATCATGCTGCTTATTGTCACATTTCAGTTAATATCACATATCAATTGATATTAAGAGAAATGTACTGGAGTGATTGATAGATACAATTGTCAACTGTACATTAGCATGCCATTTGAATGTTGTATAAATTTAAATGATCACTTGAGAAGGATAGTTCTACTGGTAACTATGGGTGGCCTCATGCCTGGTTTTGTATCATTCCGTAGTCTTTGTCCCCTCTGGTGTACTTTCATGGTTGTATTTGCTTTTTTCAGTGTCGGATACTTCCGGCGGAGTGTTGTCGCAGGCTGTGTTGTTTGGCTCGGGCTGGGAGCTGGTCAAATAAATTTAAAAAAAACCTGCTTTATTCAAATCATTGTAAATCAATAAGTATTTCAACTGATGTAAATATATATCTGGATAAATAATGATTCCTGATACAAAAATATAAAATTTCTTTTAACTTAAATAATAAATACTTCGAAGATGCAGTACATGTGTTACAGAATTTGACCAGACAATATATGGTCATGCATACCGTGTCTCTGTTCAAACAAAAAATCACAATTGTTCTGATTAATGTATTTATCCAACAATACCAGCAAGATCATGCCTGGTATTACTAGCCCTATCTATTAAAGTTCAAAAGAAATGCTTACAATGCTGTTTCAGTGTCGTACTATAAAACCATATATATATTTTTTTGAAAATTGTTGTTGGCCCCCTGGGCTATATATTGTAGGATACATAAAGTATACAGTTAATACATCTTACTACGTGTATAACGGGCATGCTTATATTGTGTGTAAGTTTTAAAGGTGCTAATAATTCAGCCATATTTGTGTCACCTGAAAGAAATCTTGTTATGAGCATTAAATTCTAGGCAATGGCCGCAGCAAACTAGTTTCATAATTGACTGGGCCTTAGAGATGATTTACTCTAAAGGGTACGATTCCAGTGTAGAACATATTATATGACCAAGCTTCAATTTTCTTTTTGTTTTTGTTTATTTCAGATTGAAAAAAAAATAATCAAACTTTCTGTTTGTCTTTGTCCTGTGTAAAACATCATTTATAATATAGATATAATTTTAAAATTCTTATTTTGTTAGCGACATGTGTAAAAGAACACTGCATGGAAATCGCATGTGCAATATAAATACAAGACAACCAATTTAATGCATGTTGGAGCTGAAATTTCAAGGTTCATAATTAAGCAACTCGGAGAAATAAAAACAGAACATTTTCACAAAAAGCTATATTGAAACTAAACTTTTTTCTCAAGAACTTAATTAGGGCCAGAGGCTGCAATTAGACTTTACATTTTGAAATTAATCATAATTCATATCATATTTCAACTGTTAAACTATATAAAGTCTTGTCGCTCATTTCTATTAAAACACAACCTATCAGCGACATTTAAACTACATGTACTACTATTTTTGGAGATTGATGAATATGACAATAAATAAAAGCAATATGAAATATAATAATTACGTCTAGCTGTATAATAAACAAATTGGAAGCAAAAAATAAAAGCAAATATAAGAGTGTTCTGCTTGTTTGATTGATGTGATTTCGACGTGACTTATAGATATTAATTAGCCCTAGTGTTAAGCAACATAAAGGATGTGATAGCCACTCTGAAGGAAGGAAGAAAGGACGGACGGACAAAATGGCTGTGACAGGTGCGTGAGGTGTCATTTTCAATTCCATTTTACTCTTCATGAGAAAACGTACATGTAGTAAATTCTACTCTCCATCCCAGAAACAGCAGTTTAGTTGTTCAAGAAAACTGAGATATACTCCCAAGACACCAGTTTATGGTCACATGATCACTTTAATTCAATCACCCCCCCAGGAGGAACATTTGAACTCTTCCAATTCAAAGGTTGGAATAGTACATTATGAAATTTCAGGGGATGAATTCTTGTCCTGTTATGGTAATATGACCTCAGAAAATTTGCAACAGGAAAAAAAAAAGGAAAAAAATTACTGCTGTGTTTTTGTTTTATTTTAGATTATACAAATCTACATGCAAAAGAATCTAGTAGTCAACAGCGCAGCTGCTAAAAATAATAATTGTATTTTCTTTTTTTAAGGGATAATAATAAAAAATAGATAACAATGCAATAAACACAACTTTAAAATGTTTCATCAATCCCACCCTTGAACCTTAACGCCATTCCTCAGGGACTACATTATCATCTTCTAATTTGACTATTACAAATTGTATAATTAAAAAGTGTTTAGGATAGAGAAATAAGGTTAAAAGAAGTTATATTAAAACCTAATCTACTGAATCATACCAAATAATAAATGATTCAGAAAATTAAACCAGAAAGTACCACAAATTAAGATATGTATTAGAAATAAATTATGACCATTTTTGGGGATAACAAATTATATAATGAAGTTATTGTTGTATAGGTTCGTTGTGTAAAACAGATACAGTTTGTGCATAGAATCTAGACCAAAGAAAACAACGTAATAGCAGAGTGTATACCTCTCGTCGAAACTTTAACAGATCCTGAAAAAATATTTGGAAGAAATAAATGTTATGAAATATGATAATACATCTTTTTAAATATTCGTGTCCATCTCTGTCTTGGTACATCAGTAATTTACATTTAAATAAATTGTATTGGTTATTTCCTCATTCCATTCGGCGCAACCATGAATAATATTTCCTCATTCCATTCGGCGCAACCATGAATAATATTTTCTCGTTCCTTTCGGTGCAACCATGAATAAATCAAATCTTATGTATTTTTTTTTAAAGCAAATATCACAGCATATTGGATGTTTGGCTTGTGTATTTTGCAAACCTATCACATGTCTTATCAGACAAATCCATGTGTCATTTACATATCAAAACCATAAGATCGAATACGCCACATGTAATTGAACTATAGAGGGAGATAACTCCTACGAGCTTACAAATTGCCACTGTAAGGAATTTATGTATTATGACATGATCAGAAAATACAAAAGTTTTCAAAACAAACAAACTGGTATAATTAAACTATTTTTTTTCTCTTACACTTGTTTGATTGGGGAGGGGCGGGGGTGGGGGGT